ACTTTTGGATTATTGGTCCATGTGATCAGCCTTTGGATCTACTAAATCCCACGTGGACTTTGACTTGGGTCCTCCATCACTCCATCAGTAATCCGGCTGGTTCTGGAGGTCTGCAGGCCTCAGTAACGGCTTCTGAGCAGCTCCTCTTCCCCTTTAAGCCTTCTTCCATCATTTAGTCAGGAGACTTTCTCAAACTCCGATTATCTCTGCCTGAAGACCAGTTGGCATCTTCTCCCTTTCTGCTCTTTCAAATCTGGAGAATTGTGGCATCTGCTTCAGTTGACTTTAGTTTCCCGCCTCATTTTGGAAACACTCTTCTCTGAAACACATTCCAAAGAACACTGACCATCTGTCATCATCAGCATCATTTTGGCTAAAGAGCTCCTGCTCTTGGTGTATTAAGCATTACATAAAAAGGTATTTTGGTAACTCCAATGCTGCTGAGTTAGGGCAGCTGTGGTATAAAACCACTATGGATGGTGGTTCATTACATTTGTTAAGCTCTGTATATGTATAATATTTTGTCTCTGTGGGTGGTGGAAGCTCTTTGTTAGCTGGCCCATCAGATGTCATCAGATCAGTATCAGATTAGTAACATCTCAGCTCGTTTACAAAGCTGTTTGCTCTTCCCCTCATCTGTAATGTTCTGGGTGATATCTTCTGCCGATCACAAGATACTAATCGGCCGTCTGGTCTCGCTCTCAGTCACCGCTTCTGGTATTAGCTGTTAGTTATCGTCATGAGCCATGCCTTGTTTTCTTTTTGGGTGTGTTCTGCGGCCCCGCCCTGAAAAATGACGCCTGTTGCACCTGGGGGCGTCTGGGGAGGTGTGGCCCCATTAGCTCACTCCAGGAGCCAGTTCTGGGAAGCTGCGTTTAAGCTGGCCAGGTCCTACAGGTTCTCCACTTGGATTGCCCACAAGGAACAGAGTCCTTTTTGCAGACATAAGAGCTGGACATATGGTCTTGTTGTCTTTCTCTCTCCTTCTTCTCTTTTCATTTTTATTTTCCCTTTCTAAAGGATCTCTCTCCTTTCCACTGCCCTTCCCTCCCCCCTGTCCCTCTGTCAGGTTCGGCATTATTGGACATATGGAAGTTTGGTAACAAAAAAATGAATAAATAAAGAAGTTTTGGGTAATCAAGGGGGGGTTTTCTCACTAACAAAGCCTCCCTTGGCAAAGCAATTTTGCTCAGCATAGCACGGTACGCAGATTTCAGTTCTACTACCATAATGCTGAACAGGACAAGGTAAAATAAATAAATAAAAAAGCTGGCCAGGTTCACCTGGACTGGTTCAGTATCTGGCATCTGTGCTTAGGTGGATATTGAAAGTGGATCCAGGCTAAATGTGTTTGGGTGATTTTTTTTAAAGCCACTGGACAACCAGTGGGCTATAAGGTGCCTGAGACTTATTCCACAAAGCTATGGCTGGCTTTCGGTGGGTTTGTGTAAATCCCACTGACCTGGTACTCTGACTGCAGGACGCCCGTTCCTGAGGAGGCCCCGGAGGGCCCGATCCGAGGCTTCTTGTTATTGGGGCCCTGCTCCTGGCCGTGCTGCATCCCACCAGCGGCGGTGGCCCCGGCGGTGGCGCCGTTGGTTTGTGCGGAGCTCTGCTGGGAGGGGGCCTGCTGGGCGGCGGCCTGCTGCTGGTTCTGGGCCTGGTTCTGGCCCGCCGTCTGCTGGTGCTGTTGGGTCTGGTTCTGCAGAAAACAAAACGCAATCGAAAGCTTGAGCCAGATGTGTGACAGCTTTCCAGACACCTGCTAACAGACTGCTTTGTCTCTTTGGACCTGAGACACTGAGAATTATACTGAGAATTTATTTTCAAACTGAATTTGTCATCATTTGTACTGAAACTCGTGCCTTTGATTTGGTCAGACTTTAATAATAACGCGAAAGGGCAACTCAACTTGTTTCCCTAACCTTCACATGGCATTAACCTTCCTGGTGTGATTGGCTTAAACTTTGACAAACAACACAGATAATGGGTCACATAACACTGATACGGCTCTCATTTCTTTACCAAGTCAAAACGTCTAGTGTGAAAAAGCTGGGGAGTGTCCTCCGGCTTTCCTCCGGTGTGCTTACAATTCTGCTAGTAATCCTCCACTTTCAGTACTAATCAAGGGGAGGGGCACCTTTAAAAACCCTTGTAGGGGGTAAGTCAGACCAAAACTGTGAACGTCTGAAACTAGACTAACTCACAGGTTAAACAGTTGGGGATTTGATTAATATACTGAGTTATATAGATGAAAATAAGTTACTTATTTATGAGATATCACTTCGTTTCATATGTTACTGTGACAAAACTTTAGGAAATGAAAGTTTCATTGATTTAAACTAGTTTTTTTTCTTTGTTTACACCCATATAATACATAGTTTTGACCTCTGACCTCCCATCTACAGACAGCAGCCTGACCAGGGCTGCACCTCCATGTGGACAAAAACACGGCAGGTTTTGCTCTGTCTTGTGTTCATGTTGTCTTGTGCCGTCCTGTTTTATTTCCCGTCCTCTCAGATTCCTTCCCCTCTGTCCCACAGCAAGAGCCGTTCTTCATGCTAAGTTCCAGGGAAAGGTTTGATTTCTTGGGCCATAGTCTGCACTGATATTTACTTTATTTCTTAAAAAAAAAAAAAAGATTTTGAGTTTTCTCATAGGGTCTCCCTCTCAGGAGTGATCTACTGTTGGTACTTTGTTAGCATCGACTACCTCGAAAGAGCAAATGACCGTTTCTGTCTCTTTATTAAGGATCTTTATTTTCATACCTTTGTGTGGAGTTGTGCTTTTGGGTTCTGGTCCTGGTCCCATCATGACATGGATAGACAAAAAACAACTAAGGTTTGCCTTAACGGGAGCAGGTTGCTACGGTGGTTAAAACTGTGGCGTCACAGAAGGGGCCTGGTTTGCCCCCATCCTGTCCAGGTGCTCGGCCCTCTTTCCACAGTCCAAAGCCACGGATGTCAGGCTGACCTTAAACTGGACAAAGGCCTTTGCTTTGCTTTGAACAAAACCATTCGAAATATGGCCCAACCTGCATGACTACAGACTCAGTGCTGTTACTGTTAACGTTTTGCTATGGAACAGGTGCATCAAACATTTCACTGCGCCTTATACCAAGTCGAACTGTGTTTGTGGCAAATAAAAGTCTTGAATCTTGTACTAACGTGAACTTTGATGGAAAAAAGAAGAAGAAAAACAAGCCTCTTAAAATATACATGATCTTGATCTTTTATCGTACTCAGAAACGCTAAAAACACAAACATGATGCGAGTGGTGCCAGAGCCAGTGAGACGCTTTGTGCTCCTGAAAAGAAAATCTGAGCTTTGTCTACTTTTTATACACCAAACAGCAGGTGTCTCGGTCAAAATGAGCTTGTTCTCCTTGATGTTGTGCTCCCACTGAGCAAAGACGATAAGAATGTCTGCGGCAAGGCCATGCGATACAGGACTGAATGCTGAGTCGACACTTTCACAGGGCACTCAGGAGCCACTATGCTCGTGCGAAAATTAGTTTTTTTAAACATCTTATGGGCTTAATTAAAGAAAAGGTTAATCAGAGCCAATGAACTGGTGACAAAAATCCCTCATTGGTACTAAAGAAGAATGAAACATCCTTAAAAAGGTGGACAGGGAATTCTCTTTGTTAATTTCTTAGTATTTTTAACATCAGTCAACATCATTACCTTTTCTGTTTTCTCCTCAGGCTCATCTTCATTGAGGAACTCTCGTTTAGGGTAGGGGATCTGGCATCCCGCAAACACGCTGGAGAAATAAACAGGTGTCTGGTCAAACATTCCTCATCACAGAGCGAGAAAACATAAGCAGCAAAGCCTCCGATATAAAAAAGCTGCTTTTCTACGCTGGACCAAAGGTTTGCAAAGCTCACTCGGTGGTTGGTAACGGGTCCTCCAGGAAGTAAGGGTCCTGCAGGGCCTGCTCTGACGTGATTCTCTTGGTGGGATCCATGGTGAGAAGTTTCTGGAGCTGATGGCACACAACAAACAGACAGATTTCAGGTCTAAAATCACACCTTTGAATCAGGGGTCTATGAAAAAAGCCAAGTCAGCGGTCGTCTAATATTAAAAATCCACAAACTGTTTGATGTTACAACTTTCTGACTCCACTGAAAATCACCCAATGCAGTAAAGGAAAAAGTCTGATCTACTTCTTCATTGAACGTACATATTTTTGTGCAACTGTTGGTTGCTGTGGTCGGCATTTGATGGATTAAAACCATCAATCCTCTCATTTACTTCACTGTGCTGCCCAGCAGAAAACACTTCTAAGACCTTAATACACATCAGCTTTTACGAATGTAAAGTCTCCCTGATCGCTTAAATCACATCTTTTTACTGTAAAAGCATGAATAGAAACTAACACCATCCATCCATTTTCTATATCTACTTATTCCTTATTAGGGGAGGGTAAAGACGATATATAAGAAGATAGATACCAAACACCAAAAATGTGGGACCTGGTGAGACCCACTAAGCATACTTTGCTCTAGACAGATTTTTTTGTTGTTGTCTAAATGGATATTCTCTAAAATATCTGTCAAAGAACACTAAGTGAGCGAAAAGAAGGCCTGGTCACCCGGACCTTTCCCTGTCATCTGAACACGGGGATTTCAGTAAAAACCATCACTTCAGTACAAATCTATATATGTAAAAACAGCTATAGCCATAAACTGAGGGCTTTATCCAACACTTTCGTATTTATTTCTGTATTTAAAGCACATTTTTTTCATATTTGTGATCATAAAAAACGCACATTTATCATGTTCAAAGCATGTAGTATAATTTTTAAATGTTTCACCATGCTTCAAGGATAGAGTTAAATGTTTTACTGATTTGTACTAATTATTATTCTCATAAACTCAGTTTGAGTAGAAAATAAATACTCAGACCCTCCTTTGGAGACGGGATCAGTTTGCAGATAATGGCCAATCAGATACTGTAGAGGATGTTTCAGATGGTTTCCATGGAAACGACAGTGTGCACTTACCAACAAGAAAACCTTGCTGTCTGGTTTGACTTTATGCTTCTCCATGTATTTAATTAAGCTGCTGTTTGCATACCTGTGAGAACAATGACATCATATTTCATTATGGTCCCAGAGTGTCAGAGAGTCTGATGAGAGTCGGATTGTCAGAGTTTAAACTCACGTTGTCCTCCTGAAGTCTTTCTGCAGTGTGGGGTACTCGGGCATCTTCCTAATGTCTTCCCAGTCTTTGTCTGTGGGTACAGGAGATGAACGTCACCCAAATATTAGCGGGAACACACTGGGCTGCACAGTTCAGGGAGCCTCAGTGTGTAAATATTAGCTCAGTTGACAGGGAGGGTGAACCCGGTCTTAAAATGGAAAAGCAGTTCAGAAAACATTATAGCCGTCCGGCCGCGCGTTCTGTGTGCAGACCTGCAGGGAAACCCATGACGCTGAATATCCGGTCCAGCTGGTCGTGATGGAAGGGGTTACTGGTCTTGATGTCCTCCTGGCGACAGTGAAAGATGGGCTCTGATGTTAGCAGCTCCGCAAAGATGCAGCCAATTGCCCAAATATCTGCATGGAGACACACGTGGGCACCACTTTTGACTTGACTTAAGCAATAAAATAAGCTCAGAATAAGAATACGCTAACAAACTGGCGTGTGTGAACACTTTAACCCTTGTGTGGTGTTCATATTGTTGTTACTCAGCCAGTGTTTGTGGGTCTGACGGACCCGTTGCATTTTGTGGCTTTTAATGCCTCAAAATCACTTTTATATTAAAACACTTTTATATTAAAATACTGAACAGATGTTTACCTTATCTTAACTTCTCTCTCTCTCATCCAAAATCAATTCCAGGGCCCTCTGGGCAGAGAACCTTTAGGCCCTCTTGATCGGTTGTAAGAAACCACTCTGGCAAAACTGTGCCAGTGTGGCCCCGCCCCCAATTTTTAGCCAATAGACAGAAAATGAGAGCAGACAAACAATGTGTGGGAACTGTTTCTTTTGTGTTTGTGCACCTGCAGTTCCCACTCAAGGTTGCAACATTGTGAGTGCGTGTCTGTGTGTGGTTCACAGAACATTAATTTCCACACTTATTTTAGCCCCGGGTCCAGTGGACCCGAACATCTTATATTTAATAGATATGTGTAGGGGGGGTGTACGGTGTGTGGGCATTAAATATGTATTCGGATATATGTTCTTGACAGAAAATGAGCCAAAGCCAGTGAGTCTCAGTTTGAAAAATGAATTCATTGTATCATTTTTCTTTTAGTAAAAAATGAAAACGGGTCCCACAGACCCGAACACCACACAAGGGTTAAACTGTAACAACACTCAACTCGTCATATTTCCAGCTTGATATATGTAGACTTTGACACACCTGCCTCACACTGATGGACATAGTGGTTGACCACTTAGACCTTCTCAGCTATCATCGTCAGAGACAAAACCCTTCAACTTCAAGCAGACAAACTAGCCACTGGTCAGAGTCTAATTCAGATCCAACAGTAGCCCAAAGCCTTTTAACCCCTCACGCTGTTTCTGAGATACAGGGCATGCTTCCCCGTGTGGGATATCTACGTGAACTCACCGATAGCTTTGGTGTAATGCCTGGCGCCCAGCAGCAGCTCCGGAGCCCTGTACCAAAAGGTCACCACCACCGGGTCAAGGTCTGCCAGGGGCTTGAGGGGGGAGTTGAAGAGCCGGGCGAAACCCATGTCGGCTAGAGGAGGTGCGTAGAGGAGACAGGTGCACATAGCAGTCAACAGTTTTTTGTTTTTTTTTAAACTCAAGATATTTTTATTGAATTTTACATAAACAAAAAACAGAGCGCAGTTATGAGATGTTACAAGGTGGGCTTGTAAAACCCAGTGAGACAAGTTGTTCATACAAAAGTTTGTTGTGTCATACAAGAGAGATATAGACTTCACAAATAAAAAAAAGTGGTATGAAAACTACAGTAAAACAAGTCAAGTAGTGAAGCACAAAGATATAATGCAATGCAGTCAACAGTTTTTGATCAGACACTTCTGAGGGGTGGATTTAGGGGCTGGCCCCGGTCCAAGGCTGCGGTCAGGGCCATAGGCATAGGCATCCGGCCTCCTGGAAGGATGAAACCTCAACCTATGGGAATGCTAAGATCTCTGAGCAACAGGCCTGATGAGCAGCAGTGAGAGGGTTAGAGACTATCTCCATCCGGATATTCGGTGTCCAGTGAAATTTTCACCAGCGCCATCAGTGGAATCTGGCTGAGCAACTGCCCGGGAGTTTAAAAATAGCCTTCATTGTATCGCCCCCCCTTTAACAGTACCTGGAAACATGGCTTATGTAACAGGGCTTATCTGAGCTCCTTTCGACCCTTCGGAGGTAGGGTTCACTCCTGGTGGCCCCCCTACGCAAATAAGTCAATGGCCCCGCTGACCTCTCGTAACGATAAGACCGCAATCTCCAATCCGAACATTTTTTTTTCTTACCGATTTTAACTCGTCCTCGTTCGGGACCCTCTCCCATCACGAGTATGTTGGCCGGTTTCTGTGCGAAACAGAGACAAAAGGGAAACATTACAGAAGCATGTTAAAAATACACAATGGCACATTGAAGGAAGCTGTGTTAGAGGGCAGGCTCCATCATCATCATGGCGACACAAACTGTGCGAGGACTCTGCTGACCTCCAGTAACCCAGGCCGTCTTCTAACTACTGAACTAGATGACCTTCTCTGTCGGCAGTGGTGGGAAGTAACGAAGTACAAGTACTTCGTTACTGTACTTAAGTACAATTTCCGTGTATCTATACTTTACTTAAGTAGATTTAATAATGGATACTTTCTACTTTTACTCCACTACATTTAACAGTAAGTATCCGTACTTTTTACTTCACTACATTTCTATACAGCGTTTCGTTACTCGTTACATCCAAGACGCATTTCGTTTTTTTGATTTGTTCGTTAGTTTGAAAGTATCCAATGGCGAGAGCAGAATCAGTCCGCTGAACCAATCCAAAGCGGGAAATAACCATTAGGCCCTCCCTCAAGAAGAGCAGCACAGTACGCAGGACTGATTTATTAAAACTAAATACGAAAGGTACACTTAATAACATTATATAAGCCGTTAGGTATTATGGTTGGCAAGTACTTTTACTTTTAATACTTATGTAGTTTTAAAAGCTTGTACTTTCTTACTTTTACTTAAGTAAAATAATAATGTGGTACTTTGACTTTTACTTGAGTACATTTTTGGCTGTGTATTTGTACTTTTACTTAAGTACATTGTATGAGTACTTTCTCCACCACTGTCTGTCGGACACTGTATGAGTATACAGATTACACACACAAGCATTCGACTGTGTTTTATCCATATCCTCCTGAGACCCGGCCCATTCATTTATGTCCATTATAGTGGACATTTTGTCCACCTGTACCCCCCCCTAAGTATCTGCAGTTACCCTATCAAGCCCTATAGTGTTCTGTAGAGGACATCCTGGGCTTTCCAGTGATGTGCCATGTGACAGGTTTGCATGCTGGGAACTTTACTTTTTTCCTAAGAGTTCTTAGGTAAATATCCCTTTCAAGACATTTTCTTTTTTATTATTTAATTATCTAAAGCCTCTTCTATTTTCCCATGTAAATCGTCCTGTTGTCCTCCACAGTGGATATGCTATGAAATTAAAATTAAAAACACTTTTTTTTTTAATTGAAATTGTAATGTTCTTTTTTAGGTCCAAATACATGGAAAATCACAACAAAAAAGAAATTTGAAGACACTTTTTTTCTTTGGGTCTCAGGAGGATATAGTAAGATACCAAAGAAAACAAACATTAAATATGGGCCTTCTAACTTAAAATGGCTTCCAGACATGTGTGTCACCGCGGGTTGGGACTCTTTGACAGTGGTTTTTGTGTGTGTGTTCAGTCCCTCTGCTCGTTACAGAGGTTTTTTCAGTCTGTTCTTTGTGTTTTCATGCATGTGTGCTACCCGAGCCCCAGTTTCACGTTCCTAGCTGATCTCAACCCATTTTCCCTTTGGACGGTGTCTGACCTAAAGTTTGACACCAAATATGTGTCTCCTTTCTTTACCAAAGAACCATAAGACTGTTCCTCTTGTGCTGCAGTGACTTTTGTCTGCAAGCTAACAGGGACCAGGGACTGGTGCAGATGATGGAAAAATGCAGTACATTCCTCAGATTATAAGCAAATGCAAGGAGGGACATTGCCAACTGACCTTAAAGTTTAAAGATTTTACACTTAACAACAATAACTTTTGAATCAAACTTAAATAATCCATACATCTGAAGGGATTAAAGAGTAGATGTAGACCAAAATCTGGAAAAAAAAAAGTTTGACAGCTTTCATTCTTTGTTACTTGTTGTTTCTGTTGTGTTTGGTGGTCACAGATCTTATTTTGGTCAGCTTTTAGTTGGGAATGAGATGTTCTATGAATATCAAATATGTCTGTACTTAAGTGTAAGACTTGGCATCATGTGCCATAAAACGAGAACTCTCGCTGCCCAGTACTGGAGGGGGTTAGGGCTCAAAGGGTTAAGAACAAAACAACAACTTAAAAGGTTAAAAGGTCCTCAAATTATATCTTCACGATGCTTAAAGTGAGACTAGCAGGGGACAGGATTCAAAAGAATTAATTTATGATCTGTATTTTACCAGATAAACAAAAAAAAAAGGATGAGTATGAGTGATTGATATTTGGAACAGAGAGCGAACATAACAATCAAGAATAAAACATTTAACACAACGTGAGAATGCAGACAGAGGGCCGTGGAATCCAAACACAGGGCCAAAACAAGGAGCAGGAAAACAAGACCTCAAGGTAAACTTAGCTTTATTCTTAAAGGGAACAATCGGAAAGTGTGGGAACGCCAGATGGCAGAGAAACAAAACCAAAAGATTAAAGCTACGAAAAACACATAAAAAGATGGGGATGTGGACGGAAGGGCACCAGGAGGGAAACAAAGGGAAGGCATGTGCACAAGGAGACTTGAGAAAAGGGAATGAAAAACAGGTGCAGGACAGGACGTAGGACAGTCAACCGAAGGTCGGATATGACCAGGAACGAGGGAACCAGAGAAGCTCATAAGGAGGGGGGTGTGACTAGTGCAGTGTTTTTCAACCCCTGGTCCTCGGTACACTAGTGTGCCGCGAATGATGGTCAGGTGTGCCGTAGAAAATAATCCTATTTCACCTAATTGGTCTAAAAAGATTTTTTTGATAAGGAATTAATTATCTGCAAATAATATTCCATTTTTGAGTGTCTGTGCTGTTCTAGTGACTGGTGGAGTAATCATGTAATAATTCCTTATGACTAGATTTTGTATTTAATTTTGTATATTGAAGTGGACATGTTAAGAGCAATTTGAAAGACGAAATATAAAATATGATAAAAATACATTTTTGTGTTTATTTGATTCCTATTCAAGACACTTAAGATAAGATAAGAATAAGATAAGAATAACTATAGTGTAACTATAGGCGGCTACAGATTTGTTTGACATTTTTGGTTGGTGGTGTGCCTCGAGATTTTTTCAATTAACAAACTGTACCTTGGCTCAAAAAAGGTTGAAAAACACTGGACTAGTGGATGCAGAGTAGGTGAGACGGATAGCTCAGGTGCAGGGAGTCGAACCTATGACATGAAAAACATAAAAACAAGAACTAAAGAGGACGTATAAGCCAGAGCAAACTGAGGGGCATGAATTAAGACACATTGAATCAGGAAACAAAAAGAGACACCAAAATAAGACACAGGGAATAGGGCACACAAAACTCTGAATAACCTAGGAACTTAAAGAGAGCAGTAAAATGGTGTAGTGGTTAGAAATGCTACCTCACAGCGAGAGGGGTCCCGATTCCAGTCCCCGGGGGAACCGGGACCTGTATGGCTTCTCTCCAGGTACTTAGGCTTCCTCCCACCATCCAAAAACAGGAGTCGGACACTTTAAATCACCCCTAGGACTGAATGTAGGTGCGTGTGGTTGTGTGTCTCTGTGTGACCTAGCGGTGGACTGGTGACCTGGTGACTCTTGCCAGTTGTCCGCCAGCATAGGCTCCAGCCCCCCTGCAATGCCGTTGGGAATAAGTAAGATAGAAAATGATTGGATTGATTAAAACTTAACTAGGGGGACAAGGGCAAGCGCAGAATACTTTACAAAAAACTAGAAAAAAGCAGGAAACAGACCACCGAGACACACTGAGGATTACCAAAACTATAGCCAAGGAACAGCCTAAGAACATGGATACAGACTAAACGGCAGGTCTGAGCTCAGATAGCTCCATCCGGAAGAGAGCTCAATCTCGAGATAGCACCAAAATAAAATAGGAAAACAGAACAGGGACTGGAAATTAGGGAACTCTTTTCATCAACAACATCCAGCCCCCGATGACCAGGATACGTCAGTTACAACTTGTTGCTATAGAAACAGGATTCTTAAGGAGGCACCTTGCCAACATCAACAACATGACAAACTCTGAGTGGAATACACAACAACTAGGATCCCTTAAATGTCCGATTCAAACTCTAAACTGGCCTGAAGGAATTCCCGTGTCTGATCTGAGCACATTCATTTGAACTCCAGTGTTCTTTATATGAGCCCACGGGCATCTTCAAAATTCTACATAAGCCTGGCCTAAAAACTTAGATGCAAAACTGGTCAAGAGACACAAAAAAATAAGGCAAATGATCAGTCGAGGACAAACTATGGACCTCACTGATCGTTTGTCTTGTCATTAAAACAGATTGGTACCCATGTG